ATTAATTTAGACATTTCTAAATACTAGCAAATTTCAATGAGAGGTGATCTTATTAATATATAAATAATTTTGATAAATAAACAATTATTTAAGAGTCAATCCTCTATAATTTTTTTCTTAATTTAATTCTCAGCCAATGTACTTTTTTTTTTATTTAAGAAATACAAAACATACAGGGATATATCGATAAATAAACGATTTATTACGATACAATTGTGTAGTGGGTTATCACAAGCGGAGTCTATATGAGGGCAAGTAGTTGGTTTGAATGGTATGAGCGGCAAATATTGTTAGGAGCTAAATTATTAAATATCAAACACTTCCTTTTTTTAAACAACATACTGTACGTTTATAATTTATCATTCCAGTAGGAAATACTAGAAATAAATTAGTGTAAATTTTTTTTTGAGTGAGCATATATTAATTTAAAATTTCTCGAATAAATGTACTTAGTTTAGATATCCGATTATTCATAAAAACAATAAACGCATCAAAATATTCGATCATAATAATATTAAGCCACTCATAATACTCCTTGGTTCATAGTTTAAGTTGTCCATAAAAGAATATATGCAATCAATGAAAAATCATTAATCAATACGATATTATAGCATAACAAAATATTAAAAATGAACACTTGCTACCATTAAAAGATTTTTGCAAGCATTATATTTTTGTTTCATGCAATCTTTACAGCACATCACGTTACATTATTTCAGCTTTATGTAATGCAATTTGATCTTCAATCCCACATTCTAAAAAAAAATTATAAATACATCTGAATACATCCAGCCAGTCATTATGATCCATTACAACTTTTTTAAGTTGAATAAGTTCCTATTAAAAATAGGACTCAATAGTTCATAGAAAGATGATTGCATTTTAGTATAATACTAACAAATATTTGTTACATTGTATTGTTGGAAAACAAATGAACAAATCTCAGTAAATTGTGGTCATTTAATCACCGCATATTATATGACATTGAGAATCAATTAGTTTCATCCGATTAAGTGACCAAGACTAGTCGTAAATGTGTCCACTCGCCATATATGATGACTCAAACACCATCCAGATCATCTCATCATTTAAAAAAGTATAAAGAAAATGAAATTACAACGCACGTTACTGTTGTACTTGCCTATCCTATTTGAATAAAAATCTGTAATCATCACCTAAAAAAAGCAAATTAAATGAAATAAAGTTACATTTCATAAAAAATTCAAGTTTGAATCAAATATAATGATTTAACAAATTTTTTATTTTGATAAAAAAGGCATTTTAGTTAATAAAAGGATGGTATTGGAAATACTTAGTTTCAACTGACTATATGCCCAAAGCTGAGTACACTATTTATTATGCACTGACTCAAATCATCTTTGATTTTTATAGAAAATCAATCGTTCGGTTATATAATCTAGGATGGTTCTTGCTCTTTATTGCGTAAAGCATGGACAAATCAATAAAAATATGTAAGAATATAAGTAGATAAAGCAATTAAGTATTCATAAAAAGATTACACATCACGTTCATGAACAATTATTTTTGACGCAAAAGCTTACCTTTGTGTTCATTAATATTTGATTAGGAGACTAAATTAATGTAACATTAGTAAAAGTAATAAAAGTCAGGCTAACTTCTCAAAAATGTCAAGTTTTCCTTCATCAATAATTAATGGCTTTATTTATTTCATCTTTATATAGAAGTGAGAGCGTAACTTTTCCTTTATAAAGCGAGGCCATAATAGTATTATAAAAAATAGAAAACATGTTACATTTTATATTTGAAAATTTTTAAAAAGATGAAATAAATATAGAACAATTTAACTTAGAAATAAAAAATAGACTTTTATCATATATAAATGCGCGATTGTTTACACGTCATTGCGAATTAATTTGATTTTACTTTACGTGTCACAAATTTATCAGATCACATCATCTGTAATTGTTTAAATTACTACTGAAATTGTGACTGTCGTTTTGTGCTCATACGATAACATTTTTTTCTAAGAGACATCTGATATTTATTCTTAAATTTGTTTTGGAAAATGTATTACTCCTTAAATATATATATGTATAATATGATAAAATAATTGCTGGTAAAATTTTGATGTTTAAACTGTTTCAAACTTGTTAAATATCATACTGTATTTTAATCTAAGATGATTTTCATAATGTATATTTCAACATCAAAATTATTAATTCAGAAAACGCAATTATAGTCATTAATAAATTAATGTTAAAAAAAGTTTTTATGAAAAATGCTAATTTTTTTTGTTTTGAATTCGACTCGACGAACGAAAATAAAAACGGAGGTTTATGACTAGATTTTAATATCCATCACTTTCAAATTTTTTTTGGATTATATTAAGGCTTTAATTATTCAATAAGTCTTGGGAAGTTTTAAAAAATAGCTCAATTTAAAATAGAAATAATGACTAAGATAAATTATTTATGAGAGAAAGATTGCAACGGTCAATAGGATTAAATTTTGTCACACCAATAATTCTCATATAATTGGTAATTTAAAAATATTTTAAGATTATATTATTTTTTTTTGCAAAAATCAAGTAGAGTCGACTTCGGAATTTTCAATGACTGAACCATGACTGAATCGCTGTTCCAAATTTGATATAAGGTCTGAATATTGAGACATTTTTAATTAAATAAAACTTCAATCTTTAGTCAAATGGGATTCTTGTCAACATTATTTATGATGAAATTTATTATTATCTATTTTTTTGCAACATTAATTAAATTTTAAAAATTTTTGATAAATATTAAGATATTAATAATACAATTATGGTCGCTAATTTCAAATGAGGGTCTCAACTCATTCGACGGCTGATTCGAATGAAAAGCCTCTAACGGCTGACTGAGTCGACTCCAGAATTTGTCACGACTGGTACTACTATGTCAGACATTTTGACCTAATATCCCAATATTCACATAATTATGATCATATTCCAGGCGGATACATTTTCAATTTCATCCGGTAGCCCGATCAATTGCATTACGATCCTACTTACATATGCCAATAATATTTGAAATTGAATGAGTTAAATTTCAATGATTTTGTATTATGAAAATAAACGAAATAGATGTTAATCAGTTGATTTATTTTTTTAAATCTATTATTTTTTCTACAGATATTGTAAAGAGTTAGAAAGCGAAAGTAAACTCTACCCTCTCGTACACATCGTATAAATCGCGAGTTAAATTCTCACATTTGTATCCTTCAAAATTGCTTATATCTTTTGCGTGGTCATAATGCTGAACTCTCAATTTCAGCATTATTGCTTGTTTTGTTTTCATTGTTATAATCGTTCACGCGTAGTGTATCTTCAAATTTTATTTATCTACTTTTCGTGATGTTAGCAATGTATCAACTACAACATAATGCCGATCACTAATTCGGATCCAGTTTTATTTTTATGAACTCAAACTAGATACCTGTTATTTTTTGTGTTTCTTAAATTTACCCAAACTATTGCGGGTTAAGATAGATTCTTAGGACTTGAAAGTTGTTCTTGGGCTTAGAAGATCTTGGACCTTGGAAGAAATACATGAAGAATATTCGATCCCGTAGCAAAAGGTCGTAGTCCCTGATACGTCTTTTATCGGTTCGTCAAGTAGTTGTGATCCATGGTTGAAACTCGGTCATGTTGTGAGTTGTTGTGATTGAAAAATTCAAATTCTCCGTCAAGAGGTTGTGACCTTTAAATAAGACTATACGATTTTGTTCAGGTCGTGATCCTTCGAAGAAATATCGATCCCATCAAATGGTCGTGATCCTGCGAAGAAGATGTCCGATTTTATCGATCCCATTAAGTAATCATGATCCTTCGAAGCAAACTATCCATTCTTATCGGTTCTATTGCAAAATGGTCGTGATTCTTAAAAGAACAAATTCGTTTTATCGACCCGTCGTGATCCTTCGAAGAGTTACAATTTTATCGATCCTTCAAAGAAGATATCCGTTCTTATCGATCCCATTAAGTGGTGGTGATCCTTTGAAGAAGAAGGATACCCGGTCTTATCGATCCCATTGCAAAATGGTTGTGATCATTTGAAGAAGATGTCCGAGCTTATCGACCCTTCGAAGAAGATGTCCGTTCTGATCGATTCCGTCAAATGCTCTTGATCCTTCGAAGAAGATACTCGGTCTCGATCCCATCAATTGGTAGTGATTCTTGGATGAAAGCTATCCGTTCTTATCAATCCCGTTGCAAATGGTCACGATTCTTGGAAGAATGTTCGCTGTTATCGATCTCGACGTTATTAGTTATGACGCATTAGTACTGCGCCAATTACAATTAGCGAATGATGATCCCGTCGATCATGGATCTCAACTTTCTC